CATCACAATTGAAGATATCCAGATATCCATGGGACATTGCCAACCATGTACAGTCTTAACGAATATATATCCAAACGACCCTGCCAAAATTGCCAGCTTTAACGCAGAAAAGTAGGACTTACTGCCAATGCTTCCAAACTTAAACGTGTTCTGAGGGTAAAGCTAATATATTTACAACTTTACAGTAAATATTGACCCCCTTCCAGAATTACCTTACATGGATGGTCTGCTATCACACGTAGCTGAGGCAGAAAATCAGACGCTGAAAAATATTTCCGCTCCAATGCAATGGGACTCGTAAAAGAGCTGATTTGAGCATGGACACTTTTAGTGCTGAATGTGTGGTCGGCTACACATGCATTTGCTGCTCAACATATCTCAGAAGCTAAGCAATGTTGAGCATGGACAGCGCTTGGATGGGAAACCACAGTGCATAACAGCTGTTAGAGGCTGCGGGGCTACATTTTGGTAGCAGAAGGCCGTGCAGCAAAAGCCATTTATTATACTGTACTTCTATTCTCCCTCGACTACGCTCCCCACGTGACATCTGAACTAGGCCTGGGCCCCCCAACTTCAGCGATCAGCAATGACCATTGTAGCCAAACAAGGCCCTAAAATCCACAGAGCATTGGTAGGGCCTCATCCAGCAGCGGATAAAAAAAAAAGTCTCGACATGCACACACGCACATTTTAATCTCATGCGTGAGTGCACGGGTGCGAGGGCAAAAAGAAGAAGAGCAATTTCATATCTGGATGTCTGCAAAATGCCAGCAGACCACTTGTTCAAACTACAGACATTGCTGTGTACCGTAAGAATATGGCGCATCTGCCAGCCCTAATGAGTCACGCTTTGAGGATATGTTTTTTTAACCGTTGAAACTTTTACAAGCTTCTGATTGGCTCCTTTGGAATGCAGGGCCAGCAGCCTCAGATGGGTTTTATTTTTCCCACACAACCAGAGCCGGCTCCAACACAAATAACAAACACGTGCAGCGTTACATAAGGCCCTGCCTGGCTGCACAACAGGTGTGAACAATTAACTGGTTACCGACCCGTGTATTTTATTTATATATTCCCATTGCAGGGGTGGAGCAAGAATCGGGGAAGGCCTCTTCCACTGCACGTAGCGAGGGAAGTTCTTGGCGAGACGACCCTTAAAAAGCATAGTCCTGAAAACAGTCGCCTCTTTTGAATCACAGGTAGGCTTCAGCGTAAACCCCACGGGAATTTGTGGCTAACACATAAATCCTATAACCTCATAGCAACATTGCAAAGGCCCCCCCCACAGCTGGGTCTTTCATAGGACACACAAGTATATCCATTATGTGTGTATATTAACTCCGCTTAGCTTCCTTGCTCTTTCTTCGCGGGATAATAAAGCTGGATAACCTCATTTCGGTCATACATTGCCCACAGCCTTATATGCAATCTTGCGTTGTCGTAGCGCAGTGTCGTGGTGATCAGTCAGAGTGGCACGAGTTGCTTTTGCTCGTGCCAGAGAAAAAGAAATAATCCACGGGGCCCCTTTGTGTGGTCAAAAAAAACAAGGGCAAGGGGTGGGCTGCTTTCGGCGAACAAAACTCACGCAGCATCGCTCTCGTCGCAACGGCCTGGACGGTCAACTGCAATTCCCTCCTGCTCGACGTTGTGGCCCCGTCTCGCTTTTTAAATCCTTTATATTAAGTTCACTTGCGTGCTTGTTTGCGCGCTTACGACCGTGCAAATCTTTCGGTCGTTTTTTAACCCACTTCCCGTGATCCAATCGAGCTGACATTTTTCACACAGACTCGTTGTGCGTGACAATTTATTTTCGTGAATTTTTTCTCTCCAAAATTTAACACTTTTTAGGAAAAAATAAATGATATTTAATTACCAATTGCTTAATGGTGGCAGGCAATCATCTGACCCATAGGTGGCAGCCATCTCAAGCCAGAGGACGAGAGGACTCTAGCCGCCACGCATATAAAGGATTTATAGTGTATAAAATTTGTTTTTACGCGTTAATTTTTTAAAGCCCTTCTTGAGAAGGGTTCTGCTCAATAAAAAAAACGACGGCACGTTTAAACGATTGCAAGGCTCTTTAGTGAGATCTGAAAATGATGAGAAGTACTCATCGGAGTGGAATATGAATTAGTGCTGGCTGGAAAACGGAGGGGGGGGGGGAGGTGGCAGGATGGGGGGGGGCACACACACTCTGAAGTGGTAAGCATTGGTGGCTCTACTGTGCTGATGAGTCCTACTAATGAAGAAGCTAGTCCACAGTTGTGCATCACTGCTGCTCTCAGTCGGTCATGTTGATGGCGACTTAAGACAAGAGGACCACAATGCACTCCTTCAGGAAATGCCATGGAAAAATGGCTGTTTGTGTGTGTTTGAAGCTTAAGGCTCTATGTGTTGCGTGTTTCCTTTGTTAAGTAGTGTTATAAACAATATGAATTCATTGTGCAGTGTATACACGGTACATATGATATATATTGTCGTATTATATGCCGTATGTATGAACAATATACATATCATAGTATATATTATATTGTAAATACATATGGTAGGTAAATACAATTTATGAAGATATTAAAATATTCTTTTGTAATATGTAAATATGTGTGAGTTTGTGACCGGTAGTAAAGCAGTTAGTGTGCTGCCTTAGGAACCCAGCGAAATGAATTCCGATACCCTGTCAAGGCCAATGCCAGTGACAATTTTCTGAACCGGTCCTGGGCCTGCCCTAGATCAACTAAGGAGGGCCACTGAAAACATCAGCGGCGAGTGATACCTGACCAGCAGGATGAGCTTTGGTCAAACCACCCACGAAACCGAAATGTTGGGGGGAAGCAATCACCTAAGCAATGTATTGACGAAGGGCTGTAAATATTAACGAGAATGTATCAACGATAAACAGTTAGAGCATGCGGTGTGTTGGGCCACGATTTATATTGAGTAAAAAACAAACAGTCATTGTTTTCATTTACCTATTTGGAGTGAAATCCCATAATGCGTGTGGTGAGCAAGCAGGCGGCTAAATCCCACGCGTGCATACGTGAGCCACAGGCCGCATAAGTGCTGCACAGCAGCAGTAGTTCACATACGCATAAACGCAATTAGTATGGACCAATAACTCCTTTAGCCATCATAATTCGTTAACCCCAGTTAATTAGCAGCTCGGCGGACATGGGGTCAGAGTTAAAGCCGGCTACGATAAATTGGCTAGGCGAGTTAAAGAAGGTTAACAAGGCACTTGTCCACGGCAATGTGGCTTCCAGTGCTCCCTCTATTTGCTCACCACAACTGTTTCTTTGTGGCCATGATAAAGGCATCTTTATGCCAGTTACAAATGTGCACATTTAGGAGAGTCTTTTAACACGGCCAACAAAGCCACTTTTGTGCCATCACTGGGTGATGGAAGCACGCTAATCCAGACTGCTGCTACTGCTAACAGCGTCTAAGCGCTTCAACATATCGAGAAGGTAAAGGCGGGGCCCTGAAATTGCTTTCCCGACACCACTGCTGGCGGAAGGGCCTACACTGCAGGGATATCCAGAGAGCCCCTCGTAGAGGGTATATTGGCCTACTCGTCCGTGCTTGCCAAACGTCTTGGAACATATGGGAGGACTTGCACTTTACCGCACCACATGATCGACTAACTGTGGTGTTCCCAATTTTAATACTGGGTGGACAGGGACAACGGGGAGGGGGGGGGTTAAGAAACGTTCTCACTCTTTTAACTGCTGAGCCAGGAGGTGGGATCGAACCGGTGACCTCTGGATTGCACGTCCAAGCGTGCGAACCATTGTCATCGCAGCAGCAACAGCATCCCTCAAAATATTTTACGCTTGGTTAATAATAATAAGAGCAAATACTTATGACTGTCAAGAAAATAACAAGGTTACCTTTTACGATGGGGTTATTTTCTCTGACTGATGTGACGGGTGGACAGAGCATTGCTGTTACTGTGGGGAAATGTGCAAGTTGGATGTTGTTGCAGTCAAGGCCAAACCTCTTTCAGCTCCGCCTGCAAATCCATTATCAGGCGCTCGCCAATGGAACAGGTGCACGCCGTTTTAATGGATGCTGCACCTTCAGGCTTGCTCGATTATCAATTCAATTTCTTTTAACATTTAACCAGGCGAGGAGCCATTGAAATACAATATCTATTTTTCGAGAGGGACCTCGTTATCTGCGCAAGAAATGTGCGGTCTGTCGGCATTTATTTATTCTCTGGCTAAGTTTACGTCTGAATTTTTCCTTTTATGTCATGCGCGATTCTGGCTTTGGGAAGGGGCACTGTGTTGGGTGACGAGACTGGTGGCAGAATAGCAGCCGCAAGAGCGGAGAGAGTGCCCAAGAGGACCTGACCACCGTGGAGATGGAGCGATGAGAGCAGTGTCTCGTGCGTCAGGAGTGAGATGAAATTGTGGAGTCACAGGGCAGCGAGGAATAGTGGTGACGTTGATAGACATTCATATGCAAGCAGTGGAAAAACAACAGTTGATGGGGAGGTAAAAGTTACAGGTGGAAGGTGCAGCCCCGCAATTGCTCGCTCACTCCACTGCTGGCAAAAGGGGCCCCCACATGAGGGAGGTCTAGAGAACCCTTCCAGATGGTATTTTGGCCTCTTCTTTCACACTTGCCAAAAAATATTGGAAGAATTGGGAGTGCCCACACTTTACCTCACCGCACGCGACCTGCCGATCAATGAAGTTGCGGCGTGCCCATTTGTTTCTGCTGGCCGGACAGAGGCGGCGTAGATTTGAGAAACTTGCCCCACTGTTTCAACTGCTGCGCTGGGAGAAGGAATCGAAGTGACGACCTCTGCATTGCGACTCCCGTGTGCTAACCATCACCACCGCTGCAGCATCCCGGCAAAACAGCACCGTGAAGGATGGTCATGGCGTAGTGACGCCTTGACACGCAGCGGTGAACAGATCATGGACAATTGTTACGACGGTGCTGGTGGTGCAAGTGAATTGCTGCTGCGGCGGCGGCACTGTGCGCGAACTCACGGCTGGCACAGCTTGGTGAGGTCCTGGTCGGTGGTTCCGGGCGGAAGGCCTCGTATGTACAGGTTGGTCTTGCTCAGGTGGTCAGCCAGGATGCCGTTCCCTCCGCCCCCAGCGCTGGTGCTGCCGCTGTTGCTGCTGAGCGTGCTTGGACTGGCAGGAGCCAGGGGGTGGCTGCTCGCCGCATATGGCTGCAGAGTAGCGGAGAGAGAGCGGAGGACACGGGGCACGTGGAGAGAGGCGGAGGGAGAGAGGACAGAGAGGAGGACAAGGTCAGGCATACATACAGCTAACGGTGTGTATGTGTACAGTAGGGTTGCTACCGGTTCCTGGCTTTCTCAGGGGGTCGTCTTCTTGTTGAGGAAGCTGTCCTGAGATACCTGCACGTCTTCCTGGGACAATCAAAGTGCCGTTTTTTTGTCAGTTGCATTATAATACACCACTCAAGGCAATGCAATTGCATGCAGTTCTCCCCGATTCTGGTCTTGGGAGATATTCATATTTCAATGACATGTAGGTCCCAGTTTTTTTGCTCCTCTGGTGGAAACCCTTGTATACATCCCTTTAGGGGAATACCTAAAACATTACAAGCCACGATTTGCCAATCACCAACATATAAAAAAACATATAAAAATAAACATCGTATAACCAGAGAAGCCTTATCAGGTATCAAGGTTCTTTGTCAAGATAGTCCCACATTTGGATGTTTTGCCAATACCTTTGTTTAGTTTGCCTTACATGTGAGATGATACGAGAGTATATGCATGGCCCTTTGTCAATCCACTGCTGGATGAAGGCCTCATCAAGCCAATGCAGGTCAGAGGGGTTATTTGACAACAATTCAACATGTTAATCAATGTCGGTTTGTAAAAGCAGGGACCACAGAAGTGGTAGCTTATAAATGGAGTGCAGCAATGGATTTTGCTGCACTGCTCTCTGAGTTATAAAGTGTTTTTTTTTCCAGGACACACTCCAATCAGGAGTTTAGATTCGGTTGCGTTCAGAATTGGATCGACGCAATGTTTGCGGCAAAAATTTGGAAATTGTCAGGTGAAACTGGACCGACTGCGGTCGAATCTGAATGTGACCAATCAACAGTGGGTCACGTCCTGACCGGATTTTTCTTTTTTTACAATTCAACAATGAAGAATTAAAAACAGGCTGCAGGAATGATGATTTGTGAGCCTGTCCATGTGCACCTTTGTGTGTTTATCCCCCCTCGCATGTGCGATGTGGCTTGCCAGGGTTCTATGGTTGTTTCCCCACACAAGAGGTAAAAACATTCCTCCATTAAAAAGGCAACGGTCAAAACATCCCAATGCAGGATATCATTGAACAAGAGTACCGTTGCTCCTCGAATCTCTCTCTGGACATACACTGTCTACGCAATTCATATAAATTCAAGTCCAACGTATTGGGGTGGATCAAAGGACTGATCCAGGTTACAGCTGCTGAATTGTGCACCGGATTCGATGGGGGTTCAGAATCAGATACCGAGACGAATTCGTGGCACTAGCCGTGCAGCCTCTACCAAATATAGTGACGTTTGGGAAAAAGACACTTCCACTATACTGAGAAACTTGTCTGATATTTTAACGATGGGCACAAAGATTGAGAGTGGTTAAGCATTTCCGCAAGACATGTAACAATTCATCCCCCACAGAACAGAGTTTAATCTTGTTTTTTGCGCATATATATTTCTTTGTTTCTCATTTTTTCTCGGTACAGTTAGTTGACCACATTAGCCTAAATGTTTCACAAGCATATCATTAGCATACACTCAGCATACATGGAAACAATGAATTCTTACACAAGCCGATGGATCTACACGTATCATGAGCATACGAATTAGCGGGTGTAATGATGCATACATTCATCAATTTATATTGAGCCTTCTAGTTCAAATCGCATTTGTAAGAATCAATGTTTTTATGTGTATGTTTTGCGAAAAGCCTCACATGACACCCCTACAGCCACTAGAGGCCGCTACAATCACCGCACTATTTAAATAAAATGTGGTTCTTGATTAAATTGCAAATTTGCATTGCAACAATGAATTCAATCGTTAGGAAAGGCAAAACACTGCGCATCTTATAAGAATACATTTTAATCGATTAAGCAATACCACATTCATTTATGAATACCCACATATTGCCCCATCGCAAGGGATGGGCCCATCTCTGTACTGCCCTGGGGTGGTATTATTATTATTGAAATATTGTTGCTAAGGTGTTTGTCAACATAACTATTATAATAAACAAGACAGGACAATCCAAAGGAATACTTTTCATTACGCAAAAAAATCCCCACGGACACATCTACAACGTTGCAACTGTTGAGTATAAACAACTACCAGGCATTTACAAGATGCACCAGAGCTCGGCGTACATTAATAAGGCATTTCATTGCATTTAACAACCGAGGCTGCACCCTTCACTATTCCCAAATCCATTTCTATACTGATGGCAGCTTCTGCAGTGCATGACCCCTGTTGCCCTTGGAAGACTAAAGTTTCCGCGCTGTTCTAAACAAGTGATTGAAGCTGTGTACGGACGCTGAAATATACAAACTCTTCGTGTTATTTCCAGAAACTAAAATATGTATCACTCCCACTAGAAAATTGTATTACTCTGTTCGTTCCCCACTGACCAATTATTCTCAAACACATATCTTGACATCTGGATACACTCAGATGAAAATTTCCAGGAACGTGCCGAAGAAGTCAAAATTAAACTTAAAATGACATTGAGGTTTGAAATTGTTTACATTTTATGTAACACGATTTTCCCACTCCGCCCACAAACATTTGCCAATGGCCTGCTTCACACTGCTAACTTGTGTTTGGGGTCAGTTGTACAGTAGTCCCAAGCACCGAGTTGTCAATTCCTCCTGAATTTAAACACTGTCTCAACAATTGATACGTGTTTTGTTGTTTGCAAATATTGTCTTTTCACCAATTCATTCCAATTGCTGTCGGTGTCATGTCACAAGATAAAATTTCACGGAACGGTGAAACCCTGTGTTTTATAGAATGCATCCCAAAATGACATGGCATCAAACCGCTTGTGAAATTCATCCAAGTGAGCCCTTTTATTTGCATGCCCTGCGAAATAAAAATGTTCATAGCATGGCAGTCAAACTGATTTTTTTTTTCATTTGAATTCTCGAAGATGGAATTTAGCCAAATTTAATGAAAAATCTAAACTTGTACCTAAGAACCCTGTTCATTGTATGGAATGACTGGCCAGATTCGATCCCAGGATCTCAGTGATGTTGGCTCAACACCCTGATCTCAATATCTGAGCAATATCTAATGTGTCTTTCTTGTATCATCTTTATATGAATGCATACGCATACTGACCTTTACATTCAACACCTATGCAATATCATCCCCACCCCCATCTGTCAAGTTTTCCGATCAACTGGTTTGCAGGTGTGTTGTCGAATATTTCATCGGAGAATCATGAGAGATAGCAGCAGCCTCTGCATGCCGTCATCCAGCAGTGAATCAACCGATGCTCAATATGATGATGTATATGGATGTTGAACTTATTTCGCACCATAGATAGTCAACCTATGTACAACCGTGCTAATGTCAAGTGCGGTGGGGGGGGGGGAGACAACAAACTATCAATAAAGATATTAATCTATTTCAATCTAAGACAGGGACCAGGTCTGCTTTGTAAGATCATGCTACATTCAGCAAATCTGTGCAATGAAAACCTTCTCCTCTGATGTTTCAGTTCCGTCGAATAATATTGTTCAACACTACGATCCACACACACACACGCGACCCCCAGAAGCAGCACCGGGAATTCCACAATTGATACATACAACCCCTCTAAATGTCTCTTGTTGATCCAGAATTGGGAAATTCTTATGAATGCTTAAGTTACGTTGAGAAACAGCCTTGAAATGAATACAAATGGAAGCAGCAACGCATTCACTACAGAAAAGGCACAACAGAATCCACGTCAGACTTTTTTTCCTGAACGCTCCATGATATTGCAACAACAAGAAATGAAAAAAAAACGCCGTTACCCTTGTCAGTGGTTATACAGAGGACACAATGCGATGTAGATTCCTGGGACCACACAAGCAATGCGGAGGCACAGGGAGATTGAGAGAGAGGTTGCATGCTTGGCCACCTCTGCTGCTAGTGTTTTTGCTCGCAAAAAAGGGCAGCCAAATGCCGCACAGGTAGCGAGGGAATGAATAGCGTGCACTGTACAATGAAATTTATGGTTTGTATACGAGCCCTTTAAACAAAACGCCCACGGAACTGGAGCGTGGCACGAAAAAAATGCACAACCGGTGTCCCTGTTTCGGGCGCATGTGTCCCGAGTAATGAAAACAAATGGAGCAGTAATCATAACAATTTAAATACGCCGGCTCGCGTCACCGAGATGTGCACCGTGAATTATGGCAAAAGCCGACCATTAATCAGGCAGCCGCAAACCCAAAGACACAACAAACTAAAGTAGACTTATCTGAGATTTCTTTTTTTTAACAACCCATGACACTATTTAAAACCCCAGATACTTGTTTTATGGTGTTCTGCTGTTGATCAAAGGGCCAGTAAAAGGTAGAAACCAAGACATTACGTCACTGTCAAGTAGTTCATGCATGCTCCGTTGCAAGTGGGTCCTCTGTGTCAATGTCCTCGTGGTGCTAAAGGACACAGACCCGATGTTTCCTTGCTCAAAGCCATTTAGCGAAATAAAAGAAAGAAAATTCCCTCCATTTCCCCCATCCGATATAGCGTCTCATATGGCCAAATAGTAACGTAAATTGATGCTCGGTTTAATAACAATTATCCACTGCTGGATGAAGACCTCAGGGCCTCCTTATTCTGTCAGTCATGGTCGGTTGTTTGACCATACTTCACCACGTTAGCCAGTGTTGTTGGTTCGTGGATGAGGATCCATCACAGATAGCACTTGCTACTGATGTTAGCCTTGGCTAGGAATCAAATTCAGGTCACCAGGTTCAACAGTGCAGCGCAAAAACCACCGGGTCGCCAGCGCTAAAATCGCAAGTGCCTCCATGGGGTTGCACACCATGCACACTCGCTAAATTAGTCCAAGCCTAAAATGCGGACCCGGCTGTTAGTACCTGGCAATCAAAAGCTTGGTAGGAAGTGATCATTCTTGTATGGAGCAGATCAGGCTGTTCCGAACAACCGTTTGGC